CTATGCCACCAGAGCTCCCAAAGTGGGCAGTAATTGATGGTAGTGGTATTTACATAGACGTAGAGAGTACATAAGGAATTCTAGTGATGTAGTGCCTAAAGCATTTGACTGCTAACCAGAAAGTTGACTGTTCAAACCCACCAGCCACTGCATGGAAGGAAGACTGGGCAATCATACTTCCGTAGAGATACCACCTCAGCTTTACTGCCTTGGAAACTCAAAAGGGGTTGCTATGAGTCAGAATCGACTTAATGGCAGTAAGTTTGGTTTGGAGAGAGTACACACCAGCTGTTTTTCCTTCAGTTTATGGAAATGTCTGTCTGGGCTGCAGACTGGAGCTTGATGCGGAGCCCTTGTGCTAAGACCTATTTCATGAGAGCCCTAGCTGAGCAGGGTCTCCATTGGCCCCTGAAATAGAATGGGCCACAGTTCCAACTTCTCTCTCTGTTGGGCTGATAAAGGAAAATGCTGTCACAACACAGGCATTGAGTGACACTGGCTAATCACCATCTCCTTTTCTTTTCTAGATCTCCATATGCCGGGAGATGCCCAGCCTAGAAGTGATCACCCTCAGGTACTAGTCTGACCTTAAGTCATTGTTGTTTGAAAGCAGGAGGAGAACTGTCATTCCCTCCTGCAGGACCACATAACATTAGATAAAAGACTAAAAGACCAAGAGGTCCATGTCTGGAGGGGTGGGGGATGACCTTGCAGGGGGCCTGACTGCTCCTGTAGCTGTGCCCCCATGCCCTTGCCCTTCTTTCTGGAGGCATCCTCAGGCCTCTGTTGATGGCTAGAGCCCTCCTGAAGGTGACAGTGGCCTTCTTCTGGCATAGCCCTCATGGCAACCATGTCTCCCCTCGGGGACACCTCAGCACCCTAGCTGTCTCTGCCCTCCTGGGCCCATACCTTCCCCATCTTTCCACAAGTCCAGGGAGGGAGCTCTGCCACCTCTCTGTATCTTGTCATCTGTTATTGAAGCAGTCATCTCTGCCAGGGCCTTTGCATTTTAATAGAAAGGAAACCTTGAATGAAACACATATTGTCATTGGAATTTAAAGCAACTAGGGAGCTCTGGTAGGTAGTACCTAAAGCATTTGACTGATAACCAGAAGGCTGGCAGTTCAAACCTACCAGCCACTCCTTAGGAGGAAGATTGGGCAATCTACTTCCTTAGAGATACTGCCCTGGAAACCCAAGGAGGGATCACTATGAGTTGGATCCATCTCCATGGCAATGAGGTTTTTTTTTTCCTCCCCACTCCAAGGGAACTCTCGTAGTGCAGTGCCTAAGGCATTTGACTACAAACCAGAAGGTTAGTGGTTCAAACCTACCAGGAGATCTGTGGAAGGAAGATGGGACAATATATTTCTGTAAAGAGCTACTGCCTTGGAAACCCAGTGGGGGTCACTATGAGTTGGCATTGACTCAATGGCAGTGGTTTGGTTTAGGGAGTATTTAAGGAGTTCTGGTGGTGCTGTGATTAAAGCATTGTTATGTTATGTGCCGTCGAGTCGGCCCCGACTCATAGTGACCCCTCCTTGGGTTTCCGAGGCAGTATCACTACGGAAGTAGGATTGCCCAACCTTCCTTCCGAGGAGTGGCTG